GTTGTTGACGTCATCTTTCGGCTTCGTAGTATAGGCTAGATAGGATCTGCCACATGTAGTCTGGGCGCCGAGCGCCAGATAGGATATCAACTTTGGTTCTTCGTTGATGATGATGGGACTATTTCAGCATTGTCAATTATGAACTCTTGGTGTGTTCTTATTTGGTGAATCTCGTGATGCAATTCTGCTGTTGGTTCGAGGTCAAGACTATTTGGACTCGTATGTATGATGCTGTTTGATTGCTGAAGTTCGCTATTGCTCATCTTCCTTGCAATTCGGTATCAGAGTTGTGGTACGATTGCGCTCATCTGGCGCTTGTCTTCTGCCTTATGCGGTACATACATGTGGTCTGCTGGGCGAGTTTGGCCGTAAGCGGTGTGTAGTGAGGAGGGTGGAGACGAGTGTGGTGGCGACCCAGGAGGTGAGGGGATTGCCAGGAAGGCTATGAGTGGGTAATGTGGTCTGGACAGTGTGATGAGAACTATCTAATATGCGATTGATGCTGAGGTGGAACGGCGAGATAATGCTGGTTGTGTCGATGCAGTGACTGGTCATCGCAATTGCCATTTGATCATCTGGTGAGATTATCTCTATGGTTGGGGGCAGCTAATTGAGGTACGTTGCTCTTAACCTTATCTTCCCTCTCCGACACTTCTTACCGTGAGGTTGTGTGTTCCTTCTTGAGAGTCCTCTCATCGTGAGGTGTCGAGTGCGCTCAACCTTGAGAGTCGGCAATGTTCACATGGAGCATCTGGGTGGAGATGGGCGGAGCTTTCTGAAGGGCCCTGGACGAAGCACTGGGTCACGGTCACCATGCCAACCCACAGGGAGTAGAGCATGCATGCCTAGCTGCTTGTCCTTTGTTCGGCTTGCTGCGCTGTTAGATGGGTACTACTGGGCAGGCCAACCCTATAGGAAAGACAAGCACCCGACGTCTATAAACAAACACGGGAAGGGGATATCACTGGTTGTGATCGTCGTCCTGCTGCGACGTAAAATAATTCCTGATGTCACTTGGGGGCAGATGTTAAAATGCCTCTTGATCAGCCAGTGATGTAAGGCTCGCGGCACGCCGAGGATAAATATATGTGCAAGGCTGGCCGGCTCAGCAGCTACTCGGGGCACAGGGGTGGGCCGGACACACACCTTTAGACACGCGAAGCTCTCCAAATCGCTCAGGGACGCTGACGTCAAGTGATACTCAGGGGGACTAAGGGAGGGGTTGATTCCAGGTGATAAGTTCGCGAAAATTCCATGCTGTCCTATCCACACAAATGATTCTGTTTTTATGTTTTGATTAGTTAGGTGTACAGCCATTGACATCTGACAGACAGCATTAGTTAGAACTGTTTATTGTTCCTGGTGCTTCTGTTTGCGGACTAGTCAAACTAAAAATAGTTTCGTTTGTAGGAATCTGACTTACCTGTTGACCTCAAGTGATATCTGTTCCAAAATAGCCACCAACTAGTTAGTTGGTCTGAGCATTATGTTGCGGTAGGCATCTAGAGTGTCCTAGTGTAGACGGTGCACAGCGTTGTAGCCTATGAGCGTCCAGGAGGACACACACTTGGACGACCGGATCTTGCGATCAGCTAGACGCCCGATAGCCCACGTGTCCCTAGGACCGGAGGGTGATAGGATTCTGTTCCGCCAGCTTAGGGAGAGACAGCAGCAGCAGAGGAGAGCTAGAGCAGCCGAGGCCAGCCGGGCTTTAGTTAGCGAGGCCGGTGCTACAGCAGCCATGGCTAAATCCGCCATGGTCACTTCTGCGCAACAGACTTCCCAAGCCAGCAGTTCAGGTGCCGTCGGGTCAACAGTCGCGCAGACCGTGAGTCAGTCCACTGGCGTTATGGCAAGCTAGGCAGCAGTGTTGACTCCAGAGGATGTCGCCATCCAGCAAGCAGCTCTGCAGGAGGCACAACTACAACGGCCATTAGGAGAGATAAAAGCGGAGAAGGAGAAGATGATCAGAAGAAGAGCCAAGATGCAGCGGAGAGGGGCAGACATAGAGGAGTTAGAGACGATGGACCTGACGAACATGGATGATGATGTGAGGGTAGTTAGGAGGGCCCTGTTAGGCGTAATAGAGATGCAGGAGCATCAAACTACCATCCTCCAGGATATCCAACAGAGCCTAGCCGTTTTGGCAGGCCGTGCTCAGGCAGCACCATCACCAGCCGGGCCTGGTGCCTGCCCCGTGCCATATCCTCCTTTTTTTGTCCCACCGATGACAGGGGTATCCCCATATATAGCCCCGTCATCGGTTGCTATCGTTTCCGTGGGCATGCCGCTGTCAGGAGGGGTAACAGCAGGGAGTAGTTTGCAGGTTCCTATTCAGACAGTGTACACCCAAACTCCATCGCAGGTTGCAGTCACCACGCAGCCTGCTGTCTCGCAGCCTGTACAGCCTCAGGGCACGGAGCCCCAACAGCTAGCACAACAACCTGTGTCACCGGGTCCACAGCCCGGAGTGGTGCACGGACCGGGACAAACTCAGTGGGTTCCAAAGACGGCCATCGCCGCTCCCAAACCTTTTACAGGGGACAAGAGAGGCGAAGACCTCGACACATGGTTGAGGTCAGTGCCAGTCTATGTTAGGTGCAAACTTACCTTGCCGCACGAAGAAGTGCTTGTGGCTGCATCTTACCTAGAGGGTAGTGCAGCAAGATGGTTGAGCGGTTTAGTGCTGCTCCAGGGATATGGTCATGACTTCCGCGCTTGGGCAGCCACCCAGAAACTGGATGACTTCCTGCAGATGGTGGAGGAGAGGTGGCACGATCCTCAGGAGGCTCAAAGGGCCACTGGTGCGATCCTGACACTGCACACGAGGCAGTTTAAGTCAGTAAGGGAAGCCACCGAAGCTGTGTCCCAGGGGTGCGCTATGACCCCCAGGTCCTGCTGACTTCGTACTTGAGATGCTTTTCACAGCCTCTTAGGAACCAGTTGGCAAAAGAGGCCAATATCAATATGCACAACTTTCCTTCGTTTAGCAAGGTGGCCCTAGACCTTGAAGCTAAGATACGGCATGGACAGGCACCCACTACGGATGGGAGGAAGAAGACACTGACTCCTAACTAGAAGGCGAAGGGTCGCTTAATGTTTGTCGATAATGATGGTTCCACTATCGACGTCTACGAACACTTCCAGGAGGGAGTAGGTTCAGAGGCGGGCAGCGTAGAAACTTCAGAGGTGGAGTGGTCGCTGCCGTAGCTCGAAAAGGTAAGGCGACCGGTAGACGCCGCGGAGGCTCCCGGTCCAGGAGTCAAGTTGACCCCAACACTCCTCCATGGGAAAAAGAGGGTCTTACAGAGGACGTGTGGAGAGATCGTTACTCTCGGCAGGCCTGTATTCATTGTGGTCAATATGGCCACAACCAATTCAAGTGCCGCAATAAGAAAGTGATAGAAAAGATCCCGCCTACGATGGGGCAGGTGTTGGGATCCTCTCATCCCGTTGGTACTAACGTTGCCAGTACTTCAGGCAGTGCTCCGGGAAACATGTCGGGTCAGTAGGAATAGTAGTTGTTCCTGCTAGGGTCGAAGTGGTGGAGACACCCTCACCATCTCGAGAGATGGCCCAAGCTACTTACTCCCATGTCGTCCCACAAACACATTCAGACCCATCGAGCCTCTGTTCGATGAATGTGTTTGAGTCCTTAGAGGAGCTAGAGGTGGAGTGGTCTAGATCAGACCCACTAGCTTCTTGGACGGCACTAGTCAAAGCCCCGAAGGGTGAGATGTTCGTCAACGAGGTTGTCATTAACGGCTGCAAGGCCGGGGCCAATTATGACACTTGCTCGACTAGGAACTTTATTAGTTGCGCGTGCATTGAGAGACTGCGTTTACAGGGGCGAGTGCAGCACCTGAGTCGACCTGTGGAGTCGACCTGTACCAACAAACAGCACATGGTAGTCAATGACTACCTCCAGGATGTTGAGTGTTGTTTTCCGTATGCGGGAGGGGACTTGAGACATCGTGTCTTGTTCCTAGTAAGTGACGAGCTCCCAATGGATATGTTACTAGGTATGTACTACCTCTCTATGGCACAACCCCAATTTGACTGGGACCGAAAAGTGGTCAAACACACTTTGTCAGGTGGAGGGACCGCCAGATTACATAAGTCCAAAGCTAGTAGTCTGATTGAGTCCTATGGGTGCATGTGTGCGGCCGCGTTCTACAATTATTATAAGCAAAATCAGGAGGAGGGTATGTATTTAGTCTACGTCTCTGCTGCAGGCGAGCCGGTGAAAATGTCGTCGAAGATAGAGGGAGTAGTTGCTAAGTACCCTGATCTATTTGAAGAGCCGACAAGGGTTGTTGAGAGGGAGATCGTCCACGCGATAGAGATTATCCCGGGGTCTAGTATTCCGAACGGTAGGATCTATCGGATGTCTCCAGGCGAGCTTGATGAGCTTCGCCGCCAACTCAAGGAACTCGTAGAGAAGGGTTGGATCCGACCGAATGTCTCTCCTTATGGGTCTCCAGTTCTATTCGTACCTAAGGAGGAGGGTACTCTTAGGATGTGCATTGACTATAGGGGCCTCATTGCCATCACTGTAAAGAATAGAGAGCCCCTACCACGCATCGACCATCTGTTAGATAGACCTGAAGTCCGGGTACCATCAGATTGCAATCCGGCCCGAGGATCGGCACAAAACCGCTTTCCAGACCAGGTACAGTCTGTACGAGTTTGTGGTGATGCCTTTTGGCCTTTGCAATGCTCCTGGCACCTTTCAGCACGCCATGAATCGGATATTCCATGACTACTTAGATAAGTTTGTCATCGTGTACCTCAATGACATACTTACTTTTAGTAAGACTGTCGAGGAGCACGTTGCACATCTGGACAAAGTCCTCAGCCTCTTGCGACACCACAAGTTCAAATCAACGGTGAGAAGTGTGAGTTTGGCCGCACCCGTGTCTTGTACTTGGGTCATGAGATCTCCGCGGAAGGGTTGAAGCCCGATGACGCAAAGGTGGGCAGCATTCGTGATTGGCCACATCCTCAGTCTGTGACTGAGATGAGATCTTTTTAGGAATGACAGGCTACTATAGGACCTTCGTTAAGAACTATAGTATAGTGGCCGCTCCTTTGACTGATCTGACACGCCTTGACACCCCATGGGAGTGAACAGACGAGTGCGAGGCTGCTTTCAGACATCTGAAGCATGCGTTGACGCACTACGAGGTCTTGAAACTTCCTGATCCTGATAAGCCGTTTATAGTCACCACGGATGCCAGCCAATATGGTATTGGCGTCGTGCTCGCGCAGCCGGAGGGGCCAAAGTTAAGGCCTGTAGAGTATATGTCCAAGAAGATGCCCTCTCAGAAGTTGGCAAAGTCCACCTATGAGAAGGAACTCTATGCGGTGTACAAGGCTCTGACCCATTGGAGACACTATCTCCTTGGGAGGTTCTTCATCCTCAAGACTGATCATCAGACACTGAGATGGACGAAAACTCAGCTTGTTCTATTTAACGCCCTCAAGCGTTGGATCGAAGTTATTGAGCAATATGACTTTGACCCTCAGTATCTGAAAGGGGAGTACAACAAGGTTGTTGACGCCTTGTCGCATAGACCTGACTTCTCAGGTGCGCTGATTACTGAGTTCAATCTGACAGACAGTGTCACTCAGTCTTTGGTGGAAGCCTATCGCAAGGACCAGTTCATGTCTGAGATCATACACAGACTTGAGGCGAAGTATAAGAAGACTTCTGTCGAGTTTGAGTTGGTCAATGGCTTGCTGTTCCTTGAGAAGGAAGGGAATAAACGATTGTGTGTCCCAAATAGCGAGTCTTTGCGTAGTTTGTTTTTAGGAGTGTCACGATGCCACCGGCCATTTTGGGTACAAGAAGACCGCAGCAAATCTGCTGCAGCGGTTCTGGTGGCCCACGATGATGCGAGACGCCCAGCTGTACGTGGAGACTTGTCAGGTATGTCAAAGAGACAAGCCCCGTACTCAGGCTCCTCTTGGGCTCCTGAAGCCCCTTCCGTTTCCGGAACGGCCTGGTGAGAGTCTGTCCATGGACTTCATGGATACTCTAGTCACCAGCAAGAGGGGGATGCGACACATCTTCGTCATCGTGGATAGATTTAGCAAGTATGCTAGGCTAGTGGCAATGCCGGAAATAGCCAGAACGGAGTATGTGATCAAAATGTTTAAAGAGAACTGGGTCAGGGACTTTGGTTTACCGAAGTCTATTATTAGTGACAGGAATGTCCGGTTCACCAGCGAGTTGTGGAAGGCCGCTGCTGCAGAGCAGGGAACTCAGTTGCAGATGACTTATGGGAATCACCCAGAGGCCAACGGTCAAGCCGAGCAACTGAACCGCGTTGTACAACACCTGTTGAGGCATTACATCAAGCCCAACCAGGTGGACTGGGATGAGAAGCTTGCTCTCATCGCCAGCTTGTACAACAACGTTGTACATAGTGCCACCGGGGTGAGCCCAAACAGCTTACTGCTAACATTCAAGCCTAGGCTGCCCCTAGACTTTCTTGTTCCTGAGAATCAATCCACTGCTGCACTAGGTACCCTGAAATTTGCTTACAGCTATGAACAAAAGATGCAGCAGGCTGTAGAACAGATGCAGAAGGCGCAATCTGCAATGGTAGTCTGAAAATAGACACCGCCGGCCTTCTACATTTTAGGTTGGGGATAGGGTCTGGGTTAAGTCGTCAGAACTGGGACAGGAGCACGGGATCTCCCGCAAACTCATGCCCCAGTACTTTGGACCCTGGGAAGTCTTGGATATCGTTGGGATAGATCCGGATAGGCCATCTTATGTTATCCGGATCCCTGGTCATCTCCGTACTTACCCTGTCTTTCACGCCTCCAAGCTGGCACCTTTCAAAAAGATACTGACCAGTTTCTATCTCGTCGCTCAATGCTGCCCCCAACCATGGATGGAGAAGTGGACATTGATGATATTGTGGATCACAGAGAGCTGCTGGTATCAAGACCAGCGGGCAGAGGATGTCCTCCGAAACCGAAGCTGCAGTACCGCGTTCGGTTCCGGCATCGCACTGATCCGGAGGAGGACCGCTGGTTCACCAGGGAAGAGCTCATGCAGACTGCTCCTCAAGTTGTAACCCAATACGAGAGATCTTTGCAGAAGGGAAAGCGCCCTATGATCGAAGATTAAGCTTCTCAGAGGACTGTTGAAGCTAAGGAGGAGGGAATGCGAGGCTATTGCCTCTATGAGGCCCATAAGGCCCCATTTTTGCAGCCCGTCGGCCGCCCTAAGTGAAGGCAGGCTCGACGAGGCCCTCAGGGCCCTTTTTCTGGCCACCACACATTTCAGGAAAATTCAGGCAGTTGCGCAGCGCCAGTTGGCTGAAGTGAACCCAGGCCCTCGGCCGCCTGTGTGAATGTATGTGAAGCAGGCCGTGGGCTGGATACGGGTACCGGGCCAAACACAGGCCGAAGGCAGTTGGGCACATGCAACCACTTCAGGCCCAAGGCCTGCTCTCGTCGTGCTGGGCCTTAGGCTACCGGGGCCTACTGGAAGCTTCCTGGGACTGGACGCAGGCAGGCCACTTCGATATAGGAAAGGGCCTGCCTCCTCATTCGGGATTCGGGTGCTGGCTGCATGCTGCGCTATTTGCTGGCTGGCGCCTACGCTCTCACGGGCGAGCAGGGAAGGAGCACGCAGCCATAGCCGAGTTGCGCTGCTGTAAGCTGGGTGAGGCACAGGGTGGTCCTTGGGTGCTAGTGGCATTTGTGAGTTGGGGAACGAGGTTGTGAGTGTAGCGCGAGACATACCTGGTGCTAGAAGCGTGCGACATTGGTCGCCATATGCTCGTACTTCGGGAATGCTGTTGACGTCATCTTTCGGCTTCGTAGTATAGGCTAGATAGGATCTGCCACATGTAGTCTGGGCGCCGAGCGCCAGATAGGATATCAACTCTGGTTCTTCGTTGATGATGATGGGACTATTTCAGCATTGTCAATTATGAACTCTTGGTGTGTTCTTATTTGGTGAATCTTGTTGGTTCGAGGTCAAGACTAGCTGGACTCATATGTACGATGTTGTTTGATTGCTGAAGTTCGCTATTGCTCATCTTCCTTGCAGATTGTCTATTAGGAAATCAAGTAGGACTTCGTCAAATCTCTGAAAAATAGAATTCTCTTTCTCACAACAAATATCTGAAATTTCTGATAATAGCATTTCGTTTTATCTGAAAATTTATGGTATTAGCATTCCGTTTTCAAGCAACAAATATCTGAAAATTTCTGATAGTAGCATTTTGTTTCTCTGATACTAGCATCCGAAAATTTCTGATATTTGCATACATAGCCGAATATTTCTGATGTTAACATTTCGTTTTCTAGGCATATTAGGATAGCGATAGAGGTTGTCATATTCTTGGAGACTGGATTTATTCTTCTCTGAAAGTGGAACCTCCAGTCTATTCAGCGCAAATTTTTTTTTCAAGATCGCATTTTTTTTGAAAGCCGAAACTTTGCGGAACCTTGCCTAGATCTCGCTCATAGTACTCCTCTGAAAGGCCTAACTCATAGCAGATCGACAGATATACAAAAAAATAAAAATAAAAAAAAGGGGGGTGATCCTCGTCTTTTTTTTTTTTTTTTTCTGTTGATTAGGACCGGGAGGAAAGTATAGTTTGGTTGGTTACCTACCTGCGTTTTCCCTCCCACCCAACCCTTTGCCTGCATTCCCGGTTTGGTACAGTGCCACGTCAGCAATGCCACGTCAGCAGTGCCACATCAGCAGTACCACGTCAGCAACAGTGCCACGTCAGCAGTACCCCGCCACCATGACGGTCTCAGTTCTGGGCATGCCAGGCCAATTGGCGAACGAGTCCATTGCCAAGTACCGACAGCGGTTCCAGGCTCAGCTCGCACTGATCGAGGCTGAGGAACAACGTCAGGCGGCAGTCGAGGCTGCCTGCCTACAGGCTGAAGCGGCGGAAACAGCTGAAAAGCAGCGACTTCAGGCCGAAGCAGACGCAGATACCCAGGCACGCCGCAAGGAGGCGCAGGATCAGCTACAGCGGCACAAAGCTGCCAGCATCGAAAAGCTCAAGTTCTGGCATTTTGAACCATCTGAGCACCACAAAGACGTGACACCGGAAGAGCAGCACAAGGAGTTCATTGCCAAACTCGTGACCCAGTTGGTTTACACTTGTAACCACCTGCAGTCTGAGCTGGCGAATCTCCGACGGGCGGTGCAGAACCACAAGGATCTGCACGAGGATGCTACATGGGCACTTGATTCCCGTGTACAGGACTTGGAGCAAGTTGCACCAAGACCAGATGCTGGCGAGTCCAGTAGTGCACCCTCTACCTGCCAGTTGGAGGAACGAGTTGCCCACGTAGTCGCAATGCTCGGCGACATCAGCTCCTTCGCTGCACCAGCCACCATAAGCAAGCAGCTAGACACCTTGAAGACCGAGGTTCACCAACTGCACCAGCGGCCCAACAAGGACGGCAACACCAGTGCACAGCACTACAAGATGCCGACATTCCGCATCGGAAAGTTCGATGATTATACACATCAAGACCCGGTCCCCTGGTGGGAGGGCTTTACGACGGAACTTCAGATTCTTTTTGTCCCCGAGCACTCGTACATCGGCGCGCTGTTCCTCAACTCAAAGGGCGGATGCCAGATCTGGCTCAGCCACCTGGCAACCATCCACGGCGTCCAAGTCGCCGATCTACATAAGAAGATATCTTGGGACGAGTTGACGAAGCTATGGAAGAAGCGGTTCATCGTGGACGACGCCCCAGCGCTCGCCATCAACTACCTCTTCAGCATGACTCAAGGCAACACACCAGCACGTGACTGGCTCACGGCATGGCAAAAGATCGTGGCAACGCCCGATCTCGAGTTGCCATTTTCGCATCTGCACCAAGAGTTTACAACCGGTCATGTGCGGCCTTGAGCCTCGCACTTGGTGGTCGCGAGCGATACACGACCTTCGCCGAAATCATCGACAAGGCAAGGGAGATCATCAAGACCAATAGGGCGGCTGCACACGAGAAGTCAGCGTGGCAGCCAACCTATGTGGAGAAAGGAAAATTTGGTCCGCGTACGCAGCATGTCGCCGCAGTCCAACCGGACAACATTGTGAAAGACCCGGCAGCCACCCAAGCATCACGTGAGGGTGATCAGGAGGCCGCTGTCCAGCCGCGAAGCAACAACAACTCCCGAGGAAAGGGGAAGGCGAAAACCGCATCGCCGACCGGAAACGGACAGCCAGCACCATGGGTCAAGTTTCACTTGACCAAGGCCGAATACAAGTGGTGCGGTCGGTATGGCTGCTGCTATTGGTGCAACAGCACCAAGCACAAGACCTCCCTATTCCCGGATCAAGGCAAGGAGGATGTTCGGCCTCGCATCAACTCGGGAAACTGAGTTGCGCAGGAGGTGAGGCAACTCCACCTCTCACTCCGCCAGATTCGGCCGCCTTGCTAGCGGCCTCCTACACATCTAGGGAGGATGCGAATGTCGCAAGTCCTCGCTTCACTTACAGGGATTATGCTGTCCACTTGGTCCCACCACTGGACCAACCACTGCACGTGCAACAATCCACCGCATGCACGGTTTCACCACCATCGGCAACCGATTCAGCAGCTTCGCCGCCATCTATCGCCGGGGATTCCACGTCATGGTCAAGACTTGAATAGCTCGACCCGTTGACATTTGTGGACTTCCAATGGATGATCCTTCCCCCGTCCGGTCGATTGCCAAAACTGCATTGCAACGTGCTCATGGCACAATTGCGGGATTACTTGCACACTGCAGTACCAGCTCCGTTGATGGCCGCCAAAGTAGAGGTTGTCAACCTTCACGACTACGTTGCGAAGATTGACCGCAAGTTCAAGACACAACGGTACGACGACAGCGACGCGCCATTGTTATACATAAGCATTCAAATCAGAGAGGCGAACTGCAGCGCCTTGATCGATTGCGGATCTACTGGCAACTACATGTGCCAAGACTTTATGGTACGCGCTGACCTTGGGCCACGCTTTCGGAGGAAGTGGCAGCCCACGCAAGTCACGTTGGCCGACGGTCACACGCACAAGTCAATCGACCGGTGCATTGACGTCGTCCCCGTGTACTTTGCCCCGCCTGCAAGCGAGGCCGTGTCCTTCGATATTTTGGACACCAAGTTCGACATGATCTTGGGCATGTCATGGCTGCGGCGGGCAAGTTGTTGCAGACTCTCTTGCGGGTTTCGACTTCCTAGACTACCGGCCAGCTGCTTATGATAGTCGGCACCCGATTGCAGGGTCTGGGATAGTACTCAGACAGCGACCTAGCGGACCGAGAAGAAGATATAGTGGGTGAGGGTATCGAGGAGGAGCTAGCGGACCGAGAAGAGGATCGGGCGCAGAAAAAGGGGGATGCACCCGGATGTGATTTGCGCCGGATCCATTCGCAAATGGTGGTGGCGAAGCAGTGAGTATGGCGGGCCAGAAATCCCTTAGTTTGCTCGATCCTTGATGGTATCGGGCGAACCAAGAGTCGGTTCTGAAGGTTCAAGGTAGGGCGACCTCATTAGTAAGGTTAGATTAGTGCGAAAGTTAGTGGATTAGGAGGTGAGTAGAACAAGTGGTGCGCCGAAGCTATGGTGGACGCCAAGAAGAGAAAGCGACGGGAGGAAAGTGCATAGCGCACCCAAACACCAACGGATTCGGGCGAGCTAAGAGCCGAGTCTGAGGTCTCTGAAGAGGGCGAATCCATTGAAAGGGCTAGTCTAAGTGATAGATTGGTAGATAGGAAGTTAGTAAGGAAGGACGTTGCACGGAGGTAGCGGAGAGCAAGATATGGCAGGAAGGGAAAAACGGGCAAGTCTTATTTGCTTCGACCGGTCTTGATAGAGTGAAGATACAGTCTGGAGGTTCCAGGTCGTCGCGAGATGGATAGGAACATCAGTTTGGCTGGTGGTTCGATGTTTTGGACGATCGGTTGATGACGGGCTAATGCATCTACCCATGTTCGAGCGGAAGGTTCATTTCGATTTGGCTCGTTCTATAGGGGAGAGTAGCCTCTCGATTGTCGTTGGGCTTACAGCGGCAGCACTCTCCGTGGTGCTGATCTTCACCGCGGTTATCGCACGGGGCGTGCATGTTCTTCGTAGCGATCTTGATACTCCGAAATCGGTAAGCCGCTCGCCGAGATCAAGGTATTGGAGATGATTTTCATTGCAGTAACCTGGCCAATCTCATGACCAGGTGCATTTGTACAAAAAGAAGAACACGGTGGTTGTATGACCATCCTCAGATCGTCGGAGTAGTTCCCTCTGGCGTGTTTTGAGGCTGGAAACGGACAACAGCGAAGGGAGGAGAGACCGGTGGGAGGAGAAGAGCGACGAAGTGCTGCTTACGGCCGACTAAGTGAGCAGGTGGCAGCAAATGTGTTGAGCTCTGGTCCGCTCGGGCCCTGCCACTGGAATTGATCTTCGAAAGAAGGATTCCGCATGTGAACCTGGGGAGCCAGATCTTGTCGGGTCTTGGGAGTTCGTGTTACATCTCAGAGATGCTCGACGACCTTTGGTAGGCTAGTCGACGTGGGGGTGTTTGGCCGGTGCATGCCAGTTTTTGTGGACGAAGTGGACGTGATTGGAGGAATTGGTCAGGTATGAGGGCACCTACGAGTACTTTTTGAGGAGGGTTGTGTGAGGAGAATCCGTGGTTGCGTCAGTGGCTGTTGTCACCTACTTGGATAATGCACATCTGCAGTGGTGAAGGGATGTTGTGCGACTGTGGGGCAAGGAGCCTGTGTTGTTACTGGGGGCTACTACTGCGGTTTCAAGCAGATGAACTGTAGCGCTCCACGGTGTAAGGAGGCTGCGCTTACAGGGCGCACTTGCCACGTGTTGATCGCGCAGTCTGCTGAATGGCATCGTGCTAGTGCCTGGCGCACGTTGCACATTATTGAACTCCAAACGGTGTGTTGCTTATCTACCATTATGAGAATAGTGGGACGCAAGGTCATGGGATAAGAAGATTAGCCCGCAGGGCGAAACTGCGAGTGGGAGACACAGTAGTGGAGCGGGCGTTGTTCATCGAGAGCGTCCTGCTGGCTGCTGCAGACTGGTGTTGGCTGCTGTGTAGCGACGATTGGTATAAGGAGAGGTGCTGGGACTTATAGGAGTGAAAGGGGCTGTTGCGACGATTCAGAAGGTCCTCTGGGAGTTGAATTCAGTAGTTGACTTCAAAATTTGATCAAGCTGCTGCAGCCTGGCCACCATTGCGGGGCCCTCAGGTGATTCAAGGCATCGAGGCCCTCTCCAGAGAGTTGAGTTGTCCCCCTCTTGTATCTCGAGAGTCTTAGACCCCTTATTCTGCCTTTCTAAAATCTAAGTCTAATCCGGTTCTGAGAGGAAGGCGACAGGCAGGATTGCAACCCGTAGGACCGCAGCAAGACTCTGTGGGGAGTCAACCCACCGATTGCGGGAGCTCTGCCAGAATTCGGGAGGAGTTCTGGAGGCAGGGAACTAAGAGGTAATCATTACTTCCCCTCTATAAACCCAGTTATAGCCCCTATCTATATTCCTTTTTATACTTTGACTTGATATATTGCATGCTCCTTTACTTTTATGTTTGATTTTCAAGACATAACCAGACTAAAGGAAGGAATGTATGTGCAATATCAGTTTCGGTTTTACTGTTTAACTGAAAGCAGATTGTGGGATTGCATCTGGGGGGAAGGATGGGAGAAACGCGGTATTGCATGTGTCTGACCGGGTCAACCAAAGGCTGGGCCAGTTCCATAAGTTTGGGAAGACCCATTGCTATCTTTATCTTGAATTGCCTGGAGAGCCGGACATGTTCCATAAGTTTGGGTGGTCTGGTTGCTCTGACTTGTGAGGGATGAATGTGAACGACTTTTCAGGGACCAAGCATGGTCCATAAGTTTGGGTGGCTTGGTCGCCTTGTTTATTTTGGTTTTTTTCAGTTTCTTTAGCTTCTGAACGAGGTCGTCTGAGCATGTTCCGTAAGTTTGGGTGACTCAGCCTCTTCCTGCTTTGGTTTTGAGAGAAAATGGACCAGGCTGAGCACCAAGACATGTTCCATAAGTTTGGGTGGTCTTGGTCCAACGCCTCGCACATGCTGGAACCAGAAGGCTATAACTTGACTATACTTTATTACTATATTACTTATGAACACGTTAGTCAGACAGGGTTCCATAAGTTTGGGTGGTCTGACTATAGCTTATCATCAACTGAAGAGAGTACTAATTAAGAATAAAATTGTGGTACGAAGGGGCAGACTGAATCTTGAGCTGAAGATGATCGGTTCAGTTATATGCTACCTCAAAAGATTAAGAGCAAACAATTATATGCAGTTGGGATATTTAAACATTTCAGGGCGACTAGGGTGGCCTAGTCTTATGCTCAAAGAAGAGAAAAGTTGTTGTGCCCTGTGTTTGTGTATACTTCATGGTTGAGCTAGACATGTTCCATAAGTTTGGGTGGTCTAGCTTTATGCCCTATGTAAGCTGGGTAAAAAGGGATAAATCATTGTGAGATTATGAACTATTGTTTGATAAGTTGACTTTGGGATGATGAGAGTACTTACCTTTGTGGTTTGGCCTGCATGTGACTGAGTGAGGCTACTACTTAGTTTGAGTTTCCGTTTCATAGGTAGTTGCTTTAGTTGCTCGCCACGTGCTAGAGTCATAGGAGTTAGTTTCAATTCCTACATTTTCTGAGCTAAGTTTTTTTACTTAGGTCGATTTCTGCATTTTCAAGGAGTTTTTATTATACTTGGTCTTGTATAAATCTTGGTAAGCCACTTTCTCTACGGGAAGCGTTGCCGAAATGTCTACAAAACCAACGAGTTAGTCAGATTTTGTTTTTTTCATGATCTAATTTTTCTGACTTTTTGGTTTAGTAAAAATATGGAAAACCTCCCTTCCTAAAGGAAGTGCTCCCCAAAATCACTTTAGATTCTGAACTTAGCTTTGTAGAAATCTTGGATTTAGCACTTTTCCAAAGGGAGTGTTGCCGAAATTTTTACAAAACTAAGGAATTAGTTAAATTTTGTCTTAGTTGAACTCGGATCTTGTTTCTGAATTCATATCTGACTTAGTATAAATCTAGAAAGTCTACCTTTCTAAAGGAAGTACTGCCCAATTTTTTGCTAATTCAGGGAGTTAGACAAATTTTGACTTTACAGAGTTATAGATTGTGTTTGTTTTGATATTTGAGTTATTAATACTTATTATAAAATTTGGAAAGGCACTTTCCCTACGGGAAGCGCTACCTAAATTTTCTTAGTTTAAAGGAGTTAGATTATATTTTGACAGGTGGCGATTCTGGCAATCCACTCTATACAGAGGAGACTCTACCAGGGTCTACTTTTTTTTTTGGGGACTTGCTTAGTGGTAGATTCATACATAATTGATTAGGAGGATTTTGAGTGAGATCGCGATATGGAGATTATTCTCCATGGACTTATAGGTTTAGTTTGGGGATTGACCTGTCTTGTGTTACAAGTCCTCTTGATCGTTTGATTCAGGATTTGGGCTAGATTCAGCTTGATCCTACAAGGATCATCTTCTGTTATCACTGATAACAGGTCGGTTGTCGATTCGTCAGTTTACGGCTCAGCTCCAGTTCACCCTCAATGCTCAACCTAAAAGGCTTTAGCCCTGTGCAAGGAACATGAATATGTACGAAGTACAAAAATCCAGATTGCAAAATCACACTGAAGTCCAAGTAGTCAAAGCCAGAGCATATAGCACAATGCAACCGAGTAACCATCCATTTGAGAATGATACAGAAGAATCGTGAGTCATATCCAAGCCCAACAGGGCAACGCCAACAGCATAACCCAATGTGGCTCTCTCTTGTGAATGGCGTCAGGCGCCCTATCTACTCTACAGACTAAGCCTACAACTACAGCAATGAAAGCAACCAGACAGCTTGACGACCAGAGAGTGATGATGTTAACACCAATGTCGGCCTCCACCTCCACCAGGTACGTCTCCTCCTTTACCCACACTTTCCCTTGTTATCCCACACAGCGCCCTTCACCTCCGAAGAACCACCTTCGCCCTCACCTCCCCTGTGCCCTCAGGCAGGCCGCCAGCGCCCTGTGCACAAGCAGCGCCCTACCGCCTAGCGCCTGCCTGCCTTGCACCTCCTCCTAGCGTAGCGCAGCAGCGCAGCAACTCACATTTGCGCAGCGTGCCGGCAATGCCCGCATTGGCCAAGATCCCAGCCCACTCGCCCTTTCTGCCTATATGCCAGTGTTGCGTGTGGGCGGCCTCCCTTGAGCCTCCGCCTGGGCCCTAGTACCTGTACCCAGGCCCAATGCACTTGGGGCCCTGCGCAGTACAATTGTGCCTCTTTCATCCAGGCCTGCGTCCAGATTCAGGTAGTGGACCGATTTTCCATTGGCATTTTCGGCCTCCATTTCCAGTGTGCAATGCCGGCTCACGTTTATGTGCCCAGGGCCTAACCAACTGCAAAGGCCCTGGGATTTTTGTATTTGCAGAAATCCGTGCACTCCAACCAACTGACGTGCTGCAACTGTATGGACCCCACTTCGTCAAATGTTTGCACAGAGGGCTCTTGTTGATTTGCTGGCCCGCCTTCACTTAGGGCGGGCATTAGGCTTGCTGGGGCCTTAGCCCAGAACATGTACATCATGGCAAGGCCCCTTCTTGAGGGCTCAATCCTCCCATTCCATCCCCCTTAGCTTCGAAAGTCCGCTGAGATGCTTACTTCGCAGGTGCCTTCCCTTTCAGCTTTCTCTCGTATTCTGCCACCACCTGAGGAGCTGTGTCAATCAGTTCCTCCCTGGTGAACCAACGATCTTCTTTTGGATTGGTATGATGCCTGAATCAGACGCGGTACTCTCTCTTGGGCTTGGGAGGTCTTCCTCGGCCCAGCGGCTTTGGAACAGTCATGTCCCTGTGATCCAGGATGTCGTCGATGTCTACTTGACCATCCATGGTTGGGGGCAGCATCGATCTCCTTGAAGGGAATTGCGTCTCAGCGAAAGGTGCAAGCTTTCAGGCATGAAAGACAACATAAGTGCGTAGGTGTTAGGGACACGGATGACATATGTGGGACCATCCATCTCATCCCCCAATATATCCAGGACTTCCCAAGGACCAAAATACTGCGGCATTAGTTTACGAGAGATTCCGAATTCCTGTCCTAGCTCACTAGCCTTGACCCAGACACGTTCCCCTACCTGAAATGAGGACTGTCTACGATATTGATTCTCAGAAGCAATCATTGCTTGCTGAGCTTTCTTCATATGCTCGACAGCTTCTTGCAACAACTTCCCATATTGCACACCATACTCGAGTGTGCCTGGAGTTGCAGCGGGTCGGTTTTCGGGTAGGAGGAAGTCTAGGGCTGATCTAGGCTTCCATCCCAAGTGCAGCTGATTAGGACTAATGCCGGTACTGTTGTGTACAACATTGTTGTACAAGCTGGCGATGAGAGGCAACTGCTCATCCCCGTCATCCTGGCTATGCTTGATGTAATGCCTCAACAAGTGTTGTACAACTCTGTTCGTTTGTTTGGCTTGTCCGTTCGCTTCGGGATGATTCCCTGAAGTCATCTGAAGTTGACTGCCCATCTGTTCAACAGTCTTCTTCCATAGCTCACTTGTGAAGCGGACATCTCTGTCACTAACGATGGTCTTTGGTAAGCCAAAGTCACGCACCCAGTTGTCCTTGAACAACTTGATGATATGGTCAGTCCTTGCGGTCTCTGGCATTGCAACTAGTCTAGCGTACTTAGTGAATCAATCGATGATGACGAGTATGTGCCTCTTGCCACTCTTGCTGGTCACTAGGGTGTCCATAAAATCCATGGAGACACTCTGTCCTGGACCAGCGGGAATAGGTAAAGGCATTAACAACCCAAGCGGTGCTGGAGTTCGCGGCTTGTCCCGCTGACAGACCTGACAGGTCTCTACGTACGTTTTCGCATCATCTAACATTCCAGGCCACCAAAATCGTTGTACTAGATTAGCACTCATCTTCTTGTAGCCAAAGTGTCCGGTTGCGTCGTGGCATTCTCCTAGAAACAAACTACGCAAACATTCACTAGATGGAATTACTAACCTTTTTATTCCGGCCTTATCAAGATAGAGAAGCCCGTCCACCATTACAAACTCACTCTTTGTGGCCTTGTCTTTTGCCTGAAGTTTGCTAATGATGTCCATCGTGACAGGGTCTTCCTGATAGGCTCCCACCAACGATTGAGTTACTTCATCAGATACACCAAAGTCAGAAATTGGCGCACCTAGGTAGTCTACCCTACGTGATAGCGCATCTGCAACCTTGTTGTACTCTCCCTTCAGATACTCAAGCTTGAAGTCATATTGATCTATGACCTCAATCCATCGCTTGAGTGCGTCAGAAAGAGCCGGTTGAGTCTTGATCCATTTGAGGGTCTGATGATCAGTCCTCAAGTAGAAGAACCTTCCCAATAGGAAGTGTCTCCAATGGACAAGTGCCTTGTATAGAGCATAGAGTTCCCTTTCATAGGTGGACTTTGCCAACTTCTTCGATGGCATCTTCTTGCTCATGTACTCAATCGGTCTCAACTTTTTCCCATCCTGCTGAGCCAGCACTGCGCCAATGCCGTATTCGCTTGCGTCAGTAGTCACTATGAATGGCTTCTGAGGATCGAGAACCATGAGGACCTCATGATTCATGAGTGCATGCTTCAATCTCCTGAAAGCACCCTCGCACTCATCACTCCAATCTCACAGGGTGTCAAGTCGAGTTAGATCAGTCAAAGGAGAGGCGACTGTAGAATAGTTCTTTACGAAGTTCCTATAGTAGCCGCACATTCCWAAGAATGATCTGACCTCAGTGACAGTCTGAGGTTGTGGCCAGTCTCGAATACTAGCCACCTTTGCATCTTCCGGCCTAATCCCCTCCGCGGATACTTCATGACCCAAGTATAGTATCTTAGTGCGACCGAATTCGCACTTCTCCAAGTTGACCTTATACTTGAACTGTCTGAACATGCTTTGCGTGCTCCTCGACAGACTTACTAAAGATCAGAATGTCGTCTAGATAGACTACGACAAACTTATCTAAATGGTCATGGAAGACCCGATTCATAGCGTGCTGGAATGTACCCGGCGCATTGCAAAGACCAAAAGGCATCACAACAAACTCATACAGACCATATCTAGTCTAAAAAGTTATCTTGTGTTGATCCTCAGGTCTTATTGCGATCTGATGATATCCGGATTTCAAGTCTATCCAATAGGTCGTCTATGCGAGGAAGAGGCTCTGCGTTTTTCACTGTGATGGCATTGAGGCCTCTATTGTCAATACACATCCTCAAAGTACCCCCCTTCTTCGGTACAAATAGTACGAGTGATCCGTAAGGGGAAGTACTAGGCCGAATCCATCCCTTCTCTGTCAATACCTACTAGTGTGTTAATGAAAAACAAGAGTTTGAGTAGCCCAAATCACAAGTAACCAACATGAGATCATCCATAGATGAATCGGAGCACTACCTACTAGTGTGTGAATGAAAAACAAGAGTTGCACTAAGCTATCTCACAAGATTTGAGCAAGAGATCATCCATGGAAGAATTGGAAGATCTCCTACTAGTATGTCAGTGAAGAACAAGAGTACGAGTACCCCAAATCACAAGTAATCAACATGAGATCATCCATAGATGAATCGGAGCACTACCTACTAGTGTGTGAATGAAAAGCAAGAGTTTGAGTAGCCTAAATCACAAGTAATCAACATGAGATCATCCATAGATGAATTGGAGCACTACCTACTAGTATGTGAATGAAAAACAAGAGTTTGAGTAGCCTAAATCACAAGTAACCAACATGAGATCATCCATAGATGAATCGGAGCACTACCTACTAGTGTGTGAATGAAAAACAAGAGTTTGAATATCCCAATAAGAAGAAGAAGATGAAGAAGAGGAGGGAGGAGAAGAAGAAGATGAAGGATAAGGAGATCATTTTCTACGGACAGTCTTTTTCTTATGTTGAGCCTCTTAAGGCTCTCTTTTCTCATGCCTAGCTAGTCCGAGATATCTCGGATTGCAAGGCAGCCCTCCCAAAAATATCATTATTTTGCTTTCTTTTCTCCCATGGCTCTCCCACTTGCCCCCACTAGTGCTTGCACTAGTGGTGCTAATATTTTCCACCGTCTAGATCCTTGATCTCGACGATGTCGTTTGCTTACACAAATATTCCTTGTGCTTGCTCATGGTTCCTCCATACTAGTTCCATTTTTTTGTTCCGTCGGCGATCCCACAGGCGCGCATCCCGTTTTCCGACTTTTATCATTTGGACCCACTTGGTCCCCGACAACGTTTCGGATGGTGTCCCATTTTTTTATTTTTGGGGGCTCTTTGCCCTTGGCGGTCCCATCATCTTAACATGTGTGCCGATTTTTCTAGGCCTTGAGATCTCATCGCACGGTTGCCGTTTACCGTCTCCCATACCGAAATTGCTCCTTTCTAGCATTTTGGGTTTGTCGTGGCTTATTTTCCATTAGCCTAGGCATCCCCATGCAGTCCATTATTTCTCGGACTGCAGTCATGGCGATTTTTCTAGACCCACAGCTCCACAACTTGCCCCATGCTAAAAGAAAATGAACCGTTAAATTTCTAAGTGCATCCGGGCTCAATATTGGCTCTGGATGCACCTAGAACATGTGTTTTTCCTCCCCCATGCAGTCCGTTGCAACTCGGACTGCAATAGGGGCCAATTTCCTAGCCCCAATGCCCCACAACTAGCCCCTACTTAGAAGAAAAAGAAACGGCCAATTCCCAAGTGCATCCGGACCTGATTTTGACTCCGGATGCACCTAAAACATGTGTTTTTCCTCATGCATGTAATCCGTTTTATTCCGGTTGCATGGAGCCTTGATTTTCTTTGATTTTCTCTGCAAAAATCAAAGAAAATCAAAGTCCTTTGTAACCGCTATATCCCAGAATGAATCTAGTCACGGATGAATCTCCCCAGGTGGCCGTTTTTTACCGTTAAGGCCTTTTCTTCGTTTCTTTTTCTTTTCTTTTCTCTTTTCTCTTTTCTTTTCTTTTTCTAGCATGCCAAGTGTCAACTAGCCGTTAAGGCCCTTTTCCCTTTTCTTTTTTTTTCTCTTTTCTCTTCTTTTCTTTTCCTCCTTTCTTGGACAGTAGGGACCTGCCAGTCCCTACTTGTGGCAATCCCTACTGACGGCCAACTCACTCACTCCCTCTCACTCTTCTTGTCTTATTCTCCTACATTTTCTTTTCTTTTCTATCTTTTTTTTTTCTAGCATGCCAAGTGTCAAGTGGCCTTTAAGGCCCTATTCTAGCCCCTCCCTCTTAGTTTTGGCCTTTTCTATGCCCAAGGTGAAGTCCGTTATATCTCGGACTGCAATGCTGGCCTTCTCATGGCCATGGGAGCCTCCCTTTACTTCCATTTTTCCTCCCATAGTGGCCCCTCCTCCGATTTTTTCCCGTAGGGCTATTTTTCACATGGGGTCTCGTTTGACTCCATTTTCTTGAGGGAGGCTGATCCGAGATTTTTCGGATTGCTCCCATGCCTCCATTTCAAGTTTCTTTACTTTTTCTTTTCCTTTTTGCCTTCCCGCTTGCTACCCCAAGTGCTTGCACTAGTGGTGCTAATATTCTTGGCCGTCAAGATCTCGATCTTGACGGTGCACCTTGCCTTTATTATTTTCCCTCATGCGGTGCCGCCGTTTCTTCTTGGGACTTTCACATGTCCCCGCCACTTGTCCCGTCGGTGGTCCCCGACACTTAGTCCCGCCGGTGGTCCCCGACACTTAGTCCCGGCGGTGGTTCCCGACGCTTAGTCCCGCCGGTGGTGCCTAACACTTAGTCTCGAGGGTGGTCCCCGACACCTTTCGCCCCGGATGCCATTATTTTTACTTAGTCCCATGTGGCCCCGGGTGCCTTCCCCCGAGGTGTCCCACGTCCCTTGGGCGTTTTGTCGCCCCATGGTGACCCCTCTCCCTTGTCTTTTCTTGCGCCTTGTGCGCGCCGCTTCCTTTGGTCGCGGGGCCTCCAACCCGAGGCTCCCGTAGGTAGCCCCCATGTTGGGCCCTCGTCCTCCCACTTCTCACGGCCTTCGGGCTGTCCATCTCTCGATTCCCTCATTCCTTTGTCGCTGCCGTGCTGCGTTCGCCGGTTCAAGGACCCGTTGGGCTTAATCTTTATTGCATTCCAACGGCCCTCCCGGCCTCATGCTACTTCTTATATGCCCCTGCTCCTGCGCTTATTCTCGTGCCGTTGCTGGTTTTCTCCTCCTGTGGTTTTCACCCAGGACATCACTCCCTCCTGCGGCCTAATCCTTTGTCTTTTCTCTCTCCTGCCGCCTCACTCCAGATTTCTCTGTTGTGCACAATTCGTCCATATTCAGTCTCTCGAATGATGGGAAGTTATTCCGGACTCACCAGTCACATTCCCCCCACTCATTCGCGATGTCCTGATCGCGCACCAATCTCTTGTCAGTGGGTTTTGGAGGGATAGACGGGAGAGGAGGAGGAGATGTTATGGATAGTTAGTTGTCAGGGTCCATTTTGTCTTTTCTTGCTCCTTTCTCGGTTTTCTTCTAGTTTTCGGCCTTGGAACGGGGAGGGGTGTATAGGGTCAAGCTTTCTTTGTCCTTTAGGCTTCTCACGTCTCATTCATCACCCGTAGTACATCAAACCCCATTTGTCTCATTCATCGGTTTTTCCATAGCCACCTTCCAAGGCCGACACGTCGGTCCACCTTCAATCCTCATCTTTCACATTTCCCAATATCCAGTCCTTATGACCATCCCAACGGTCCATGCCCTTCTCGACTTAAGGCTCGGTCTTCTTTACCCTGCCCTTCTCTTCCCAAGAGCATCATTCTCTTTCATCCATCCTCATGGCTATTTCAATGACCGACGCACCGGCCTTTTCGATCTCACATTGCTCATTCTAACTCATTCTCAATCAATCTTTCTCAATCAATTATGCAGGGGACCCCAATGCCTATTTCAAAAGAAATGACCCTTGTCAGGGGCCATTTCCGAACAACCTGGTTAGGGTCATTTTTTTCCATTCAAGCCAAATAACCCGGTTAGGGTCATTTTTTCCATTCAAGTCGAATAACCTGGTTAGGGTCATTCTTTCTATTCAAGTCGAATAACCTGGTTAGGGTCATTCTTTCTATTCAAGTCGAACAGCCTTGTCAGGGCCGTCCTTATCCATTCCAATGTTAGCGCCCAAGGGTGTGGGCCTCGAGGAAACGGATCCCATCTTTTACTAGGAGGGGGTTAGAAGGTGGCCATCTTTGCAACTTTTATGCGTGTGGTTTCCTTCATCCTTTCTCAAAGCAACTTACTATTCATGCATACATCTGACTTAGCGTCTAGTACTCGAGTTGGGGCTCGCAACCCCAAGTAGCACTAGCCCACCCGGTCGTTCAACTATAGCTCAAGATGCGAGGCCCTTTCGTCTTTTTCTCTCTTGCTCATTCTCACAACTTGACTTCTTGCAACACGACTTTGGTCCAGTTGGATTAGGCTCCATAGGGGAGGGTCATTTTCACACCCCTCTACCCATAGGTTTACAAAACGTTTCCGAGAATCTGACCACACTTATTCACCCTCGAACCAATAGTTATAAAACAATATTTGGCCCCTCCCACAGTCCCATCGAGGTTGTTTCCTCCGGTTCTAATCCCAACGTCTCGGCTAGTATTGAACATCTCAAAAATAGCCCGCGTGAGAGGTAGCAACAATGGTCATCATCAACCTGTCTCACCTTTGTTAACACATGAAGGACTGCGCATAGTCTTGACCATACCCAAAAGGCGACCTATATGACCAATTCACAATTTCCTATTCCGCATACATCCTATATACACAGTTTTTTTTGGCATGACTCATCTTTCCTTATTGGCCCCTCGCCTCTTGGCTTCTTCAAGCTCTTTTGATTGCGAGGGCGCATCCTAGCCTAGCTTATGAGCAAGAAATCTATTCCTTTCCGTCATGCGGACATCTCAAGTGTTCCATCATCGTAGGAAGCCCATAATGTGACCAACTCGCCCTTCCTCATCTTTCTTCTGACCTTGATAGCCCAAATTTTTCATCAATCTACTAATAAAACCACTGGCTGCATAATTGCCCAAATTCCCCATCCTACTTTGTGGCGTCTCCTTAAAGGTATCAAACTCAGGTCCTTCTCCCCCTTCAAGTTTGACTAGTTCCTCCGCCTATTCCTGATACCGATAGCTTGATGAGGATCTCCCCAAACCTTTTGCTTTTCCTTTTCTTGTTCGCGACCATCCTTGCCCTCACAACCTTTTGTCCTCATGTCGCATTGCTCATCTTGGCGCTCTTTTATTGGTATGGTCCAGTCGTGTTTCCCTCTTCCCTTACGCTTTCTCCTCCTAAGCTTACTTCCTCTCCTTCACCCTCAGCCTCAAACTGGACCCAGAATCATAATCCATGATCGATCTCCTCCCCTGTTTCCTTGGAGTGCCCATTGTGATTAACCCACCCCTCCGTTCAGTGTGTCAACCCATCTGCCGTCACTCTCAGCATTCCCTATTCCCAAGTCTTTTAGTTGTTCCCACCATCCCTTTCCGCTTTCACGACGAGGTTGGCCCGATGTTGGCCTCCCTCTGTGGTGGGTTCCCAACAACGCTTGCTTACTTCCTCCTCCTCCATTGCTGAAAATTCCAGGTTGTTTAATGTCGCTATAATGTGTCTCATTCCTCCATGCGAAGTCCAGTTAATCCTTTCTCCGTTAGGACCCAGGATTGTCCCTCGAGGGTCCTAGAACACCGCCTTCTTATGATGTCATGGTTAAGCTTCGGGCAATGTCTAACGAAGTGCCCCACCGTAGTACAATATCGACACGATTCCGTGGCGCGATCCCTTCGACCAGCCTGCCGTTCGGGTCTTGGAGCGAGAGTTTCTTGGGGTGCTAACGCGGGTTGGGGTACTTGGGCTTGCACCACCATAAGGGTGTCACCTACCCTTTCTCTTTGAACGTTAACTCCTTTGTTTGGCCAATGCGACTCCACCAGTCCTCCTTTCGCTTCGTCTTTAGTTGTCACCCGACTCTCAAATTCTTCGTTGTTCCTCCGACGACTCTCTGTTCTGATACTCCTTTCCTGGTCTAGCCACGTTGTTAGTTTCTTCCTTAGGTTCCCTAGTTCACTATAATCATCGTTTGTCAAGGATTGCTTCTCTGACTGTTGGCCCGTTCCACGGTCCGGCCTTGGCTCCCTCCCTTCCTTTGCGGTCTCTTCCTCAGAGGGTCGAACTCCCCGTTCTACCCTCGCATCTCCGCCCGTTCCCCATCCACGGGGTTTCCTAATCATGCGTTCTCGTTGTGTCTCCCCTTGCCGTTCCCCCTTATGTAGTTCAGTGTCGTCCATAGTCTCGATGTCCTTTATCATTTCCTCAATCACACTTGTCTTGTAGTTCGCTACCATCTGCTCCATTTCCTTAAGTCTTCGTAGGGTATCAGCTACCTTCCTTTTCTTTGTCAACCCACCCTCCAAAATTTGTGGCTCTTCCATATTACCAACTAGGACGGACCTTATTCCTTGGGATTCTGCGGGTTTTTTCTCGCTATGGACCCCTTTCCCCAAAATCCCCCTCGCATCGTCTTTGACCCCCTTGTTGTTGAACCTTTGGCCGACATTTATCCTGCCGTATTGATCCCTTGCATTCCGACCATCCATGTTGCATGTTTGACCAAGTTGGCCTCTTCGGCCCTTACCGTTGCTTGTGACACCCATAACGTATCAAACCTGCACGCCATACAACCGGAAGAAGGAGAGACTTACTTTAGACCCTAACCCTCCTAGTTTTGCCATTGCTATCAACTCTGCAAATGTTCCCGTCTTCAAATCAGCTTAATCGTTTTCTCATCGGGGGTGTCCTTCCACTTCCTTGCGCACCTTAGGGTCCTTCCTACCCTGTATATTCCCCCGCCCTCTACCCGTCTTACTGCTCTGGTAGGTTCTCCTACCAGTGTCACAAGCCGGAAGGACTAGCAGATTCTCCTATTCCTCCATCTTTGGGTTCGCGTGTTTTGCGCAGCTCCCGTTTCTGCCGATTGATACCTTCTTCCGACCTTGTTGGGGTTCTCTGTCACACCTTGCCCCTTTACAATTTATGTATCCCTTCTGGTCCTTTGAAGCCCGCCAAGACGCTGTTCTGGAGGTTCCTACTACAAATGTATCCGCGAGACGCTCCCCATTACTTCCTTGTTAACCACACACCCGGTAATTGTTGCGAAATCCCTCCTTATGAGTGTGATTTCCGCGCCTCCGTCTACTAGAGTGTCCGTGTGATGCGTTCCTATCTGCACTTTTAACTTCCCTACGGGCAGCGCATGGAAACTAAGCTTTGTCCCTAGTGGAACCCTCATAACTTCCCAGCCTTCACGGTCCGACAAGCTCGGGCAGATGTCCGCAAAGGCTTTCTCGAGGTCCTCCAAATCCCCACGACTCCTTTGAAGGTTAGCGACTTCTTGCGGAGCTTCCTCCTCCCTTTCCTCTTCTGGCGATTCGGGGTTTTCGTCTATCCCTACTCGCCGCCGAGTCAACAGTTGTCTAAGCCCTTTGAGCAACCTAGGGCTGTCCTGCAACATGGTCTGAAACGACACCGACACCATGGTTCCTAGTAATTTGCTAAGGGTGTCATCGATCTTAGGCATGGATAAGATCGGAATTTGATACCTAAACTTCTTTTTTGCAACAACAACTTTGTCTGTAAGCTCCTCTTCCCTAGGCTTCCCATAGATTTTCTCTGGCTCCCCGGCCTCGGGCTCTGTCTGGGGTACGGAGCTTCCATCAACTTCCTCCATCATGGTGTCACGGATAATCCTTCTCCCATTCATCCCTAGCCGAGTAGTCGCGTTCACCCTATCACGTCCATCGTTTTCCAGAATGGAGTTGACCTGCGGCCCGCGGCCCCGAAGTTGATCCCAGATGATATCGACCACCGGCTCAGCCTCTACCGCTGCTATCTCTAACCCATTGAGCATGATAATGGTTTGTCGGATCCCCCCCGGCGAGTTCCAATTCACCCGTTCTCCCTGCGGTCGAATACCTCTCCCTTTAATGACCTGGTACATCTCCCTTTTAATATATCATGGTTTAGTTTTGGGCATGCGCGCACAAAAATGTCCCACCGCGGTGCAGTACTTGCATTGCTCATTAGCGGGATCTCTCCGTCCGAATCCTCGATTGGCTACTCCTGACGGAACTACGGCTTCCTGGGGAGGGAGGGCGGATCGGGATACTTGCGCCTACATAACCAGTAGCACGTTCTCCACCCTTGCAATCTTGTTGTCGACTCCGTGCACCCGTTCATGTAGACTTTTAATCCCCTTCTTTACCTTGTCGCCTGTCCTACCAGTGAGATCTATGTCCTAAGCAAGGCCATTGTCTCGGTCACTACTGTCTTCTCGGCCAGATCCGTTACTGTGCTAAAATCAACATCCCTGGTGTTTACAAACTTGCTCGTCTGCTGGTAGGCCGACATAATTTTGTTCTTGTCGAACTCGGAGAACTGCCTGAGGAAGTACTTACTCATTATTCGGTCCGTGACCCCGGGGATCCTTAGTGCTACCAGAGTAAATTCCCATAGAAAATCATTGTACGTTGCGAAGTTCTTCCTTTGAACTGCCGCTAAATCGACCTCCGTAGCCATTTTCTCCGCTCCAGGTTTTTCCTCATCATCACATCCCGGGTTTTCCTTCCAGGATCGACTCGCGGCTACGATGGCCATTATGTCCCGCCCCAGGCTCGAAGACAATTGTTGCCCCAAGTGGTCCATTTTTTTCTTCTTCGGTCCATTTCCACAACGCGGCCAGATTCTTGTAGTTTATTACGGACTTTGTGATGTTTGCCCCGTCAAATGTCAACTTTTTCTTAGCGTCCGCAAGGTAGCCTTCGTTTTTGTTTAGTGCCCGCACGAGGGGCAACACTATCTTCCTGAGGCCACCTTCGGAGCTACTGGCCTCGCCCACAGTACTGGTATCCTGCCCTTCCTTGCCGGCCCTCTGTCCCTCTCTAGTCTTTGCAGTTCCTTTTGGGTCGAACCATCCCAACACCCGTTCCCTAAGGCTCCAGAGCTCTTCACACCCTCGCATTACCGCTGGTGTGGCGGGCAGGCGGCTAGCCCTGCTATCTATAGTTGGCGGATTCGTAGCTTTCTCCGCTTCTGTCCTTTCTTCTCTCGCTTCGTGTCCCTCCGCGGTCACTATCCTTGCCCCCTTGTCTACTTTCCCCTCGGCCGACTCTCCGCTCGTCCCGTGGTTCTGCCCCTCGTCCCCAATCATCATTTCCTCGATCAATTTCGCCTTGTACTCGACAGTCCGCTTTTCTATTTCCGCTAGTTTGCGCCTTGCCTCCGTGACTCTCACTTTCTTAGACACAGCTTCATCCAAATTTTGAGGGTTTGTCCCGTCCTTAGTTCTATCCCCCCCCCCAGTCTCCTGGGTCCCTTGCTTGCCCTCCCCCCCGGCTTTCCCCAAGCTTCCTCCTGAGGAGATCTTTTTACTGTTCCCCTTGGTATCATCCGAATTTATCGATTCTCTGTCTTTCTGGCCCTCCTTGCTTTGTACGGCGTTGCCTCCAAGCCTGGCCCTCCCTCGCTCCTATGATTATCTGTCTCATCTTACGTCGCCTTTTCGCCTAGTTCTGCATAAACCAGAGGATCCCCCAGGACACAGGCAACGAGAGGTATTTTAGGCTCCATAGGTTCTGGTTTCTTTGGCTTAGCTTATTCCGAGAGTAGCCCGCCCCCACTTCCGTTCTCTGATTGCTTTCCTAAGAGGAAGCCGCGGCCGGTCCTGCCGCCCTATCGAGCTAAGGGACATAACTTAGTTCCTTTCACGATAGGCTCATTTAGAGTGCCCCTGTTTTGTCGTGCTAGCGCGTAGGAGTCCTGGTTGGGCATCCTGTTGGGAACAATTCCCGAGCACTATTCCCTTTTCAACTCCCAGGGTCATGGCAATCATTACGAGCCTATCCACCCCTTATTTCGCAGCGGGTTTTTCATCATCCGAGTCCAAAGGTCCATCCCTATTTCCATTGGTGAGCCCTCGTACGTAGCGAAATATGCTTGATTTGCCCTATCGGCTTATCTCCGGCTGTTAATCCCGCTCTCGTCCTTGTGGCCCTTCGGATTCGGTAGGCTCCTCAAATAGTTGAGCCACCCCCGCTAGATAACTCTCTCCCATCTCGACCTCTCTCTAGATTATGTGTTCGTATTATGCACGAGCCAACCGTGGCAACCCAATTCTCAGGATATCGGTAACCTTCAGCAATTCCTGGGCCCGGTTTCCACAGAACGGCCCGTACTCCACGGCGATGTCGTAGAATGTCCCGATGATTAGGGGCGTGAAGTGGTTTACCCAGACTATTGTCGAGTCTGCCAGATCATGTACCCTTGCGAGGCTTCCGAATACGAGGTCTATCATGAAACAGGGGACCCGGCATCTCAGCGAGGTTGCTGACGCCCTGAACTCTTGCCAGCTCCCTACTTCCACCCTGGTCCGTAGGCCCACGTTCCTTCTACCCCTAATTGATTGGCCTATCCATGTCAATGCATGCGCGGCCCTTCGAAAGACTGGGGCCAGCTCATGACCTTGCGCTATTCCTACCCCCAGCGAGTGCCAACCGATCTCGAGTAGATACAAGGCCCGACAACTTCTAAGTCGGAAAACAAATCATTCCTAGGCCCTCGGTTGAATCTCATCCCCGTCCACCGACATTCTACCATCATGAAGGCGTTGTCCCTCCCCAAGATCACGGCCCGCCATTCCACGTCGAAACCCCGAAAGTCGAAGCTTGCCGGAAGAGACAATTCCCACCCTCTGCCATTATTCCAGGGCGGCCCGGGGTACCGGGACCGACGTATCGGTCGAACACGTCCTGCCGCCTTCGCTGTTTTGAGGATTTCCTGCATAGCCCACACAGAGAGGATCACGGCCCGTTTTTCAGCAATTGTCCGTCCTCCTATCGTTTCCAGTCTTGTTCAAGCCCTTGTTCTTAGTCTCCTAGCATGCCCTGCTAAGCTAATGTACATGCCTCCCCCCTCTTCTTCTATTACACCCTAGTTTACATGCATCCTCCGTATTCCGACCTTCAAGCGACGTTTGATTTCCTGGTCCCTTTAATCGAACCACAGTACCTCTAACAGTTTAAAGACATCATCCACGTAGGATGGGATAGCCGCTGCATCCCGACGGACTATGGCGTCCCAAGCCTCGGCGTCTACCTCTAGGCGGTCATGCTTGCCTATCCTTAGGATGGTAAGGATCTCCCCGACTTTATCTCTGTAAAACGGTCCATATTTTTGTGAGATCCTATAGAATTCCTCAGTTAGCCAGGCACATTCTATGTGCACCTCCTTCATGGAGTCAACTACGTCTACGATGTGCTCGAAACCCCTAAACCACTCAGTCACGAACTTGGGCACCCACGCCGTTGTTCGTAGGCTGGGAGGCCTTAGTTCCTTCCATCCTCCCATCACAACTCTGCTACTAACTTCGTCCCATCCCTCGTTGGCGAACCTCTTGCCTTCCTTTTGGGTACGCGTATCTGCATCCCTTAGAAGCCACATTGGATCCTGTCCCATTGCTAACATAGTGCAAAATAGGTGCCACCCGTCTTCGAAAAGGACAATCGTTCCGACCGATTCCACTTTGCCTTCTGCTATCTCGTCCCAACCTTCCTCTTCCCTTATCGGGTTCCAAATCCGCTCTATCCATACATATGATAATTCCCGGGCAACCTCAAACCCAATCCAGTCGCACGTGGTCCCCCTCCACTGGTTTTCTGTCGGGATGGGCATTTCTATTCCTCCTTCGAGTCGCCTTGGTTCCCATCCACTAAAGGTGTATTCCATCATCCTTTCCTCTCTAGTCATTTTCCCCCTTTTCTGCACAATACCAGGCCACCCGTTCTCCCTAAGTTAAGTCACCCTCCTTAGAAGTCCCAGTCTTCTATCTCATCATCTTCGTCCTCATCACTGAAGTCATTCTCTTCATTGTATAACAACTCCCTCACCCCTTCCAGAAATGTCTCCCCTATTGCCACATTTCTATAGACTATCCCCCAATGTACGGAGCTAGGGACAAAAAACATTGTCCACGCTAAGGCTGTTTAACATCTCAACCAGCTCCTCCGCCCAATTCCCCTCAAACGGCCTCATTTCTACCGACAATCGAAAGAAATCTTGCCTTGCGCACTGGTATAGTCCGAGGTTCGTCATGGACTGGCATATCCGTACTAGCCTGCTTCAGGTTCCGAAAACTGCATCCACCAGGAAGGGAGGCAACACACACCGCATGATTCTGACGGGTCGCCTCATGCTTCCTCTATCTCCAAGTTCCACCCGCACGTCTACCCTTTCCATTTCCATTTCCCTCCGCTGACACGCAACCCACACAACCTCCGCTTCTGCCTTCCTAAACAAACTCGTCCGGCGTATTCCTGTGTGCCAACTCTACGACCATAGCATTCTCCCCACCTTGCAACAAGTAGACCCACCCCCGGGCTTCCACTGTTCCTCGGAATTCCAAATCCATTAAACTTGGCGACAACCTCGTCAAGCTGACATTAGTCCATACTGTTTCTATCCAAAGAGGGTTACCCTGTGTGCCTAAATATAGGGACAAAAGTCGGTCGTCCGGGCATTCACTTCCATCGGTCCGACAAGAATCAGACTTTCCCAAACCATGCTACGAGAAGCTACTAATCATCTCCGAGGCTCCGTCTTTGTCCGCATGCCGTGGTACTCCCCCCGCCAACCAACAGGCTAAGCCCCGCCTAAGGAGACGTTTCACACCCCATCCGACAGATCATCGAGCCTAGCTCGTCACCGCTCGAACGGGCATGCTACTAATCAACCCGCGTGACAAACTCCCGTCCGACAGCTTGGTGGCCTGACCTCCACACCTTGGTGCTCCCAACGCTTCCTACCCATAACTCACATTTTTCTCTCAGGACAATGAGTGCCACTCCCCCTATTGCCATACATCGTGAACGGTTCCTTCTCGTGAGAGTCTTCAAAGGTGAGCTAGTTTTCCTCGGAGTCTAGCAACTCCCTTCGTTCCCTTTCTCTTCACTTATTGATGACCAGTTCTGATCATGTTGGTTCCTTCAAGCATCTAAAAAAACGTGTAAAGTGCATGAGCCCACTGGGCTCAAAGAAGAGGATAGAAGGGCACCCGTTCGGTCGGATCACTCCGTCGCGGGATTTTCATTGGACCCCGGCCTAAGCCAAGCACCAACCGCCTGCCGGGTAACCGGAGCCCTTCTTTCATACGAAGAGGAAGTGTCGACCTGCGACTTGCCCAAGGCTTCCCCGGACTGGCGAACACCAGCACCGGACGAAGGAGGGCTAGAGCCATTCCACAAGGGAATGACTGATCAAGTGCATAGCATGCATGTTATACCTCCAGGCCTGGCCATGCCATGCGCCCAACCACTCTCAAATCTGATTTCTCACAAGGGAAAGAGCAAACACAAGTCCATTTTCCTTATCTTGGGTTGTGTACACGTCCATGCGTCGAGCGCCCCCGTCGGAATCGCAAGGGTCAATTTAACCCTTGCCCGTCACCTCCACCATTTTTGTAGGGCCAAACCCCGATAGACTTTCGAGCCTTTGTCGACCCCACTGCAGGTCCCAGTTGGCTCGGCCCGCCCACGCTCATACTCAGGGCGCGGGCCGTTCGTCCCGAGGTCACCCCCACCTAATGCTTTGAGATGGATGGGGGTGGGCCATCGCGCGAGAGAGCTTTGACATTGGGGATGTAGCTCATCCCTCACGCCGGGTGGTAGTCTCGCTGATCATTCCGTAGCGCTGATTTTTTTTTATTCTTAGTTATGTTCTTCAGACAATTGCTCCTTCCAATAGACACGCAGTCCAAAGGTTCTTTGAGAATTTATCTTCTCTTGTGCGCAGGCTAAGCGTCATCCTTAGGTCGCGCACCATTTCCCTAAGCATTGTGATCCTACGACGTCACCCTCGTCTTTAAGCACCCATCGGGCCTCATAACTCACATTCAACTTATTGAAGCAGGCCCCTTAGTCTCTTCGGGGCCTTTATATGCATGTACTCACATCATCACATTTCCTTTGGCAAGATTGCACTCCATTTCCTCATCCACACTCCAAATCTCAAACGCAAAGGTCATTTCCATGGGTTGGCTTTATGCTAAAGGTCTTATTGTCCCTTTGTCCCTCTTCCCTTTCCCTCTTGGTGGCTGGTTCCTCCCGGCCCTATCCCGCTTAAGGCATCCTTTGCCATCACTCACCTGCACAATCCCACACAAAGCAAAGATCCATACAATCCCCCGTTGGGGGTCAACACATAGCCCTTCCCACATGCCTATCTTTTTCATGTTCTTTGGCTGCTCTTTGTTCACTTTCCTTGCTCAATCAGCCCATCCTCTTCTCATAGTCATGCAGTCGAGGAAATTGTTGAGTCAAACTCACCTTGCTTTCACTTATACTCTTTCTCGGATTCCGCCTTTTCTTACTTTTCCAACGTCCTTTTCCGTTGCCTTCTTGGTGACACAAAGGACATGCTACCCTTCCCTTGCCCTCTCTCTCCACCAAGTGAGGTCTGATCTCCCTTTAATGTTCGCACCTTGACATTGTAACAAGTGAGGGGAGAAGGGTTAGTCATATGCCAACTAAAGGGAAGGGAGGAAAGGGGGCAAAGTGAAAAGGGAGAGGAAGAGTGGTGGAGAGGGAGGAGAGAGAGAGAGAGAGAGAGAGAGAGAGAGAGAGAGAGAGAGAGAGAGAGAGAGAGAGAGAGAGAGAGAGAGAGAGAGAGAGAGA